AGTTACTGTCTATTACATTGTTATAATAACAGGTAACACTACCAGATTCTCCATCAACTAGTTTATTAGGTTCAGTATTTATTATAACTTGACCTAGAATAGAAAAGAGAATATTATACAGTTACTGTCTATTACATTGTTATCAGAATAGGTAACACTACCAGATTCTCCATCAACTAGTTCATTAGGTTCAGTATTTATTATAACTTGACCTAGAATAGAAGGAGAAAATTATACAGTTACTGTCTATTACATTGTTATAAGAACACGTAACGCTACCAGATTCTCCATCAACTAGTTCATTAGGTTCAGTATTTATTATAACTTGACCTAGAATAGAAGGAGAAAATTATACAGTTACTGTATATTACATTGTTATAATAACAGGTAACACTACCAGATTCTCCATCAACTAGTTCATTAGGTTCAGTATTTATTATAACTTGACCTAGAATAGAAGGAGAAAATTATACAGTTACTGTATATTACATTGTTATAATAACAGGTAACACTACCAGATTCTCCATCAACTAGTTCATTAGGTTCAGTATTTATTATAACTTGACCTAGAATAGAAAGAGAATATTATACAGTTACTGTCTATTACATTGTTATAATAACAGGTAACACTACCAGATTCTCCATCAACTAGTTTATTAGGTTCAGTATTTATTATAACTTGACCTAGAATAGAAAAGAGAATATTATACAGTTACTGTCTATTACATTGTTATCAGAATAGGTAACACTACCAGATTCTCCATCAACTAGTTCATTAGGTTCAGTATTTATTATAACTTGACCTAGAATAGAAAGATAATATTATACAGTTACTGTCTATTACATTGTTATAAGAACAGGTAACACTACCAGATTCTCCATCAACTAGTTCATTAGGTTCAGTATTTATTATAACTGACCTAGAATAGAAGCAGAATATTATACAGTTACTGTCTATTACATTGTTATAATAACAGGTAACACTACCAGATTCTCCATCAACTAGTTCATTAGGTTCAGTATTTATTTTACATACCTATTAAATGTTTAATATATATATCTATATAAGAAATATAAGTATCGATGTATTGTATTGTTTAATTAAGCACCACATACACTTGCTTTTGCCCAATACTTATCATACAAAGAAACAGAGTAATAAGTAAATCAACCTATATACAATCCATATTCAATGATTATATCAATAATAAAGGGGAAAGAAGATACATGATCACAATAACAGATAAGACATTTCAACATTGAACCTCTAAGATTCAGTTTATTAGTATTTATACATTTACACAATGAATAAATGAAGCTATAATGAATAAATTACACAACATATGATCATATGTACTATATGATTATATATGAATATAATAAGATATAAAAACATACATAATATTGTTTGAGTTAATATTCCTATCAGTAAAAAAACTATCGCCATTTTAGTTTAAGGTTATAATATATTTAATATAAGTTATACAATCTGTATTACTTCCTCATTCATATACAGGGGTCGTATTTTGAAAAGAAAAGAAAAACAAGTAGTCTATTACGGTACATGTTTACATGTAAATAAATCAGTTGTATAGTCCATGAATTACCATTAGTATTGAACGAAGACTATTCGCTATACCATTTTAGCTAGATCGAGTGAAGTGTATTGCATTAGCATTGTTATAATATTATACAATAACTGTCGATTACGTTTATACATAAAACATGAGACATTCATTTTTTACTTAACGTTTTCTGAACTATCATAGGACTTACTTAATGTGTTTTTTTTTCTTTACAGTTAAAATACAAATGTGACGTCACCTTTTGATCTTTGCTGATCAATATCCAACTTACTGGTACGGGCATTGTGCCAAGAGTACACTATTTTTTTAAATATGGCGGCAAATTTTGGACTGCTGTTACGTACAGCATGTGAAGAGCCAAAGGGGTGAGAATGGCGTTTTGAACTTTGGTTAATGTGGGACCTTGGAGCTAAAAATCGGAAACCGGGGATCCTGACAGAACTTTTGTTATCAGGCCCCTCAGCAGTATTTTAGGGTCAGATGACAATGAGGATTTATTACCGCTGATTGACCCACTACGTCGGTCTTCGGAACATCCGATCTCTTCCTCTTTGGTTTGGTATCCTTGGTTGATGGTTGTTGATTTGTGACGTGGTCGGCACATACTTTGGATACTGCGTCCATGACGTCTTTCGTGTTGATTTCACCAGCCTTGGTTCTTGAACTGATTGCTACTGCAACCAACCTGCAACAGAAATCAAAAAATTTAGTCTCATCCTTAAACTCCGGCGAGAATCCTTTCGGAGTTTGAGCCGGGGCAGGTTTGGGGCATTCGACCACGGGCTTGGGGGCAGCGGGCACCGTGTTGGCCGAGACGTGATGGCGAGCTTCTTGGGAGGATACCTTGTAGGTGTGCTGTATCCTTATTTCCCCTCTTCTTGACAGGACACTGCGCGGAGTTGCTGGAGTGGTTATCACTCCAACAATTCACTCACTGAACCTTCTTGGACTTGCACAGCTTGGTGCTGTGCCCCTATCCACACTTTTCGCAGCAAACTTTGTTGCGACAGAACTTCTCCAAATGACCCAACTTCTGGCATCTTTGTGCCTTGGGGATGTATGGGTGGAGCTAAAAGGGGAAGAGGACCATTAGGGACTTTCCCGCTGGCGAAAGTTAGTTGGACAGTCCTAACGGACTTGCCCTCTCGAGGTTTGTAGAGGTATAAACCCTCTACAGCGTGATTGTGGAGCTTAAGGTCCCCCAGCAACTCACCCTCGGAGTACTCGGAGGGGACGCCATAATGACGACCCGTTCCGTTTTGTTGAAGGTGGACATGGCCGAGTCCACCTTCATCCAACACAGTGCGGTTTGGTTGGCAGCATAAACCTCATCTGCCAGGAACTCAAAGTTCAGCCTCACGTTGCCGTTAGCCAGGACTTTGACCTCCAGAAGAGAGCTATACTTCCACTCTTTCCAGATGAAGTCGCCGATAACCTTCGACCTCGTGCTACCGAAAGTTTTGCCCCCGCTTGGCTTCACTATCATGACATTTGAGAATTCCGGCCTTGCTACCCTCCTAAACGGAGATTTGATATCATAACTCAGAAGCAACTGGATAAAACTGGACGATTTTGGGTAGATCTGTCGATATAGAAAATGACTACCCGGAAATAGAATTATTCTTTTCCATATCCGCATTATTCGGCAACTAGTAACTTAATTTCATTTACTGAAATATTTTATTAGCCCTGCCAATTGTTTGGATGAACATCAGACATCTAGGCCAAATTTAAGGCCCAACCATCCAAACAAGTAGATAGCCATTAAACAATTTTTCATTCTTTTTTTTCCAACTTCATTAGAGTCATTGTTGTTAAATGTCCTAATTAAAATTAATTATGCCATATTTAGGCTAACAACATAGGAAATAGGCTAAAATAGACAAAAAGGGGGCTTTTCTTATTTTGATTTTTATTTTTTCCTTATTTCATTTAGTGCATATTAATATTATTCCATAAAACAAAAAAAAATATTATAGTTCTCCATTTCATTTGTATTCATTCAAGTAAAAAAAACCATATATATACATAAAATAACACCTTTATCATGGACAATAGGATACTACACCGCAATCTAACCGTAGGTATCAAGCCTCAATCTCCTACTGACATCAAATCAGAGGAGATGCTGGGACTCTTTCAACAACGGGAGGCCCCATTGCATACTATCAAGTGTTTTCAGAACGTGGGGCAATGGGGCGGCTCGGATCTAAAAAAAGGGGTAAAATACGTCATAGAAAGAGCTGTCAATATTCCCCAGTATTTCCAATCTCCGGATACGAGGATTACTATCTTTGGTGTTCCATATGAAATGGACACCAAATATGTACAAAGTAAAATCAACCAATATTGCGTGGAAACTAAGATAATCCGTTGTACGTAGAGGGATCATCCCTTTATGTACAATGGAGTATGCTTTGTTTATACAAAGAAAGCCAACAGCCCTATTCCATCCCATATAACCATTCAGGGATGTCGACTTGGGATAAAATATGAGGGTCCGCCTCAACCTGATCGCAAATGTTATGTCTGCCAGGTTGAAGGCCATGCAGCGACGGACTGCCCGACTCGACCCCACCCCCAATTTCACACATACCTGAGGCAGATAAGGCTGACAACTTTAAAGTGTACAATCCTAGAAAGAAAGCACCTAACGATCTTGCGAAATCGGTGAGCGACCTCCTTAAAACAATCAGAAGCACCTCCACACCCAATGTGTCGAATTTAAGACCTCTTGACACACAGGCCACTCCGAGCTGGGTCCCGGACGATGGCGATTGGGAGAAGGTACCCCCCTATCTTCGCGATCTAACTCCAAAGACAGAAAACGAGATAGGGACAGGAACAGTCTATTAGAAAAACATAAAAAGCTCAAACAATCAGAGAAAGCTAGTGTTAATGAATGAAAGTCAGGAATTCCCACCAATAATAGATCCCTTTATGTCTAATACTAGAGGGAAATCACCATCTAAAAAAAATCTAAATAGATAGACGCATTTTATACATTTCCTTTACAAAAACAAACATATATTATGTACATCCCTTATTAAATATATTCATACTTCAACTTTATATTTTATATATCATGATATTTACAACCTTGAATATACAACGGCAATTTGAACAAAAATTCCATAAAATCATAAGATACTACAAGAACTCAGAGGTAATCAGTCTGCAGGAAACAGGCATTGTCTCAGATGAGACCAAAGCCGATGTTGAGGCCACCAGTCCTTACAGACTGGTTACCTCTAACGGACCTAATCCAAGAACGAGGGGGGTAGTGATTCTTTATAAAAAGGATTTAGTCTTACTTGATACCTCCGAAATAGCCGAAAGAGTTCTCCATGCCAAATTCAAGGTGGAAAATATCATTATTCATTCGGATCTATGTGTCACATTCCGTCGTATCTCACATTCCACTGTATCCTACTCCGACCATAAATCCGTACAGGTTCAACTCCAACTGTCACCATTGCGGAATAGCTTTTGCCACCTCATGGCGAACTCTCTGAAACGACCCATCCAGATTCATGAATTCAGTGTATTCATTGACCATGCACTGTTCCCCCACATGTACCAGTACTTCAATATTATTTGGACAAATCGCTCTGCACCAAAACCTGTCGGTGATATGATTGATACTCTTTTGTATCGATGTTGGAGATGTCACCGTTGCTACTATCGTAATACATTCTCAATTTCAGCCTCATATCTGTGATATTCACTATCATTTCATATATTTTTATAACATTATTCTTATATATTTTTACTCTACCATTATTATACAACATTCATACATCTACTACATATATATATATACAAAATCATACATAGATCATATTTTTATATATTTATATACAGAACATTTATAATATATTATATTTTTATACATTATCATACCCTAATTATATTATATTTATTTATAGATTTACTATATATATACATACATGAATTATACAGATAGATATTTATATAGATACAAATATATTTACACTTCTATATTTATACAATATTATATATGTTTACACATCTAACTTTAAAATAAGTTAGGCAATCATGTAGCAGATATATATACATACTAGGCATGATTGCACAAAATAAGGTTACACGATGAAGATCTCTCACAGATGTTAGATTTTTAAAGCATTTTTAATCTCCTGCTAAGGGCATATGTGAGCGGTGGATATACTAATTATATGTTACCAATAGCATATCCACCCTACACTAGATCCGAGTGTGGGTGGGTACGAGGGCCGAAAAAAAAAATATACACGTTATACGCTTTATGGTATGTTATTTGCTTGCTATTGCTCTTACTTCTATTCATCTCATCTCTGACTCAGCTTTTTCATCGTATCTTATCTCAGTTCACACTCTTTATCAGTTTGCCTCTTTCGTAGCAGTTTCATTCAGTTCTCATCTTATCTCAGTTCTCTTGTATTTCCTTCTGTTTCTTATCTCAGTTCTCTCTGATTACTATCTATTTCATCGCCATGGCATACGTTCTGATTAAGAACCCTGGGACCAAACAATGCAAATTGTGTCCCAAGCCAGCTTTCTTTCTCGAACTGACAAAGCACTTTGTTGGTGTGCATGGCAAAGCCTTGGCAGAGGCCAAGGAATTAAACCGACTGGAAACGGTGGAACAGAATGCCATCATCCGTGTTGTTTATGCTAGACATCTTTTGCAACACGCTCCCCCATCCTTTGGCGAGGATGCTATTTACACTGGCGAGGACGTAGAAAAAATTCTACACATTCTACACTCGCTTGTCAAGTACCATGCCTGGCCAAGCCGCCCAGGGACGACAGTTCCCGCCAGTGAAGTGCCCCGACCTTCCCAACTAGCCATGCCTGAAGTTTCACTGACTGGTGTAGAGTCTCTTCCCTCTACCAGTCGGGCTGCAGTTGCCCCTCTGATGCTGTCACCACGACGGTTCTGCCGTAGAGTCTCGCCCCTCTACCCGTTGGGGTTCTTCTTCTTCACGTCCTCCCAAGCCTCCTTCTGACGACCAGGCCGATTCTTCCTCTGAAGGCCCTGACCTATAGAGGAAGGGAAATGGTTGGAGATATCAAGAAACTCCGTACTGCCGCCGGCCTCAAAGGGTTTGCTTGGTCCGAGACTGACGAAACGGTCGACCCATGGTTGAGCAAATTCTTTGCGTATCTGAAACGCAACCAGGCTATCCAAAGCGGCAAGGGCACCAACACCAATGTCGGCAAGATGGCCAAACTGTATTATGTGCAAAAGGAGGCAGGCATGCAAACCGACAAGTCGGACATCAAAGCTCTTCTACACGTGCCCTTGATGAGGAAGTTCTACACCCGATTGACCAATGACCTGGATGGTTCCGGCAATGGATATGGCTTACAACCTTCTGCCATGAAGAACGAGTTCTCTGCATTCGAGCACTTTCGTAAGTTTTTGCAGTACGACTGTGGTTTAGCCACCACCGACCCAATGTTTGACGCCGACATTACAACTGCTGAAGCTTTGGTCACTTTTACCGTGGTAGAATCTAGTACCCAACGCGGTAAACGGAAACTGGTTTCTAGTGATGGTCATTCGTTTACCTACAAGAGACGGACTAAATCCAGAACAGATTGGAGATGTAGCATTCGCAACAAGTCTGTTTCTTGTCCTGTGGTGGTTCGACAGGAAGAAGATACCTTCAGTGTCCTGAATGGTAAGGAGCATCTCCATGCTGCCAAACCCGGTATCCTTTCAACATTGAACATAATGAAGGGCGTAGGTATAACTGAAAATGGTTTCGGAGGGGAAATTGAAACGATATCAAAGCAAGCAGACCCGCACCACCCAAGGAAAACTTTTTAAAATATGGTCTACGTACAGTGAAGGTGAAATGAGTACCAGCCAACTATTAAAGAAGTGTGGTGCCATCTTCGCCCCAAATAATTAAACGGCCCTTTTCAGGGACATCTAAACGGCCCTTTTCAGGGCCACCAAACTCTCTCAAAAGAGTGAATGAGTCTAATATATTTTTTTGAAAATAAAGTTTAATATATATAAAACACGGTCATTATAATGGCCGCCATATGCATTATCTTTTAACATTGTTCTGAGTCCTAGTGAGAGTTGTCCTTACCATTTTACTTTCAATTTGTTTACAAAAGTGGTCTGAGTCGGTAAGGTATTGGTCCAAATTTATAAAAAATGTGATCCCAGTCTGTCGTAAAAATTACTTCGAGTCACTAAGGTATTGGTCCAAGTCTAGTGGGCTGAGTCGGTAGTGAGAAAAAATACCTTGGTCCGAGTCGGTAGTGAGAAAAATATCATTGGTCCGAGTTGGTTATAAACATTTTTTTTTTAGGTCCGAACCAGTAATGGTCCGACACGGTAATGGTCCGACCGGTCATACATTCATCTTTAACAGGGATTTTAATACTTACTATGACGGACTTGACAATAAATCCGGTCTAACCATGAGCCAACCTGCAGGCATCTTAAACACATTTAAAAAGATAAAAGAAGAATGTCTGTTGGTAGATGCCTACAGGCACAAACACCCTACGAGAAAAGTATTTACATTCCTTCGTGGTGAGCAGGGCACGCGAATAGACCGGATCTATGTGTCACAGTCCGTCGTAATTCAAGTCCGACGTATCTCACATTCCACTATCTTCTACTCCGACCATAAATCCGTACAGGTTCAACTCCAGCTGGGTTCAGTGATATGGCTTACAACCTTGGTCATGAAGAACGAGTTCTCTGCTTTCGAGCACTTTCGTAAGGTTTTGCAGTACGACTGCGATTTCGCCACCACCGACCCAATGTTCTACGCACACGCCAGGGACGTGTTGCACACTTTCTACTACCAAATGAAGACCACGTCCAGCAAAGAGTCGTACGTTGACCAGCAACGTTTGGCGCACCAGCTGAACACGCCCACTCAGGACTATTTGGCATTCCTGACCGCTTTACCACCAATCCCCGCATCAAGGAGAAATTGGCTGACATCTTTGCCAAGTACAAAACTCGCCAGGCTGACCCTGAGGTCAGTCCAGACGCCCAAGAGTACCGATTCTATACAAGGTTCTTGGTGACTTCCCTCTGCCTTCAGAATTTTCAACGGCCCGGCGTGGCACAAGGCATGTCGGTGCACGATTTCAAGAACGCTAAAGCCCATGATGGTGAGAACTATCTCATTAGCGTCTCGGATCACAAGAATAGGGCACACAGTTTAGCCACCATTGTCATCCCCAACACTTTGTACAAGACCCTTCAGCTGTACCAGAAGAGATTTCGCCAAAAGGATTTGCCTGGGTGTGACAATTCCAACAAGTTCTTTCGGCGCTTCGACACCCGAAAAACTTTCGTCAACCTCAGCAAGGAGATAACAGCCTTGCAAGAGTAGTATGGGCTGTCCAAGATGACCTGCACTGACAACAGGCATGCTGTCGAGAGTGCGGTCGTGACCATAAGAACCCCAGCGCAGTTGAGAGCTCTCGAGCAGATGTTCAACCACTCGGAGTCCACCGCCAAGCACTACTATCGAGGCCACACCACAGTTCAACAGGCCTACAGAAACAAGGGTACGGTTCACGGTATTCTCAATGCCTTGAATGTCCCTGGTGTTTCAACCCCCCAGTACAGTTCTGGCATTCCTTCCACTTCTGGCGCTTTAGCCGCTCCTTCCTCTTCTGGCGCTTCCGCCGCTTCTCTTTCTGGCACAGAGGCTTCTGCCTCTATTGCACGTGCCCCTTCTCCATGCAGCAGTCTTTCCTCTAGGGCCTCGGATGACATGACCAAAGAGGACTGCTTGGCCCTGGACACGTTCCCAGTATCCCACGACTAGGAGATCGTCACCCAACCTGTCGTGTTCAGTAGATTCGTCAACGTACCAGAGCATATGGGCCCGCTGATCAACCAAAGCACCTGCTGCCCCAACGTCAAAAGCAAACCCAAAGCAAAAATCTTGTCCGGGATGGTCAACCCATCATTGTCTTCAAGGCCATCAAGGCAATTCTTCCAGGTGATGAGATTCTTTTTGACAGTCAATTTTCCGCCGATTTTCTTTAGACTTGTCCCGTTTGCCAGGGTGATCCCTGTAAGTAGGCATTATGTACTTTTTAAACTATTCTACATACTATATGCATCTTTAATTTCCATAAAAAATACTGTTCAATGTCCAATAACGACATTTTAGTTGTTTGTGGACTTAAGCCTGTCGTGGAATGGGTTTCTCCATCCGTCGATGGTGATTTGTATTGAAGTTCCTGACATAACGTGGTTCTCTTTCTCTCCCTCTCACACTCATTAACTCTCCCTCTCACTCTGTATATCCATCTACATTTTCTCTCTTTTTTCAGAACACACGGAAATGGATCTTAACACAGCCGTTAGCTTAATGAATGAACTGTTAGACGCAGAGGAGAGTGATGCAAGTGACAATTCAGACACTGGTGTTGTTTCTCTAGAATCTGTACCATCAGCTGAGACTGTTATTACTTCACTTAGACAAACTTTCGAGAGTAATAAAGCGTCTGATACTGACACTGGATCTGAAGAAGAAGACGTTGACGGAGATTTGAATGATCCTGATTACATTCCAAAACTAAATGATTCAACTGATATATCATTCATAGTAGAAGATCCCCAGATATCCACAACGACTACACCCATCATTGATACCACAAAGCCCTCCACTTCCACAACACAGAGTTTTTTCCCCAAACTATGAAACAGAAACCTTAAATCAACAGCCAGTAGGCAAAAAAAGAAAGAAGAATCCTACCTCATGGAAAAAAATATCAAAAAGAAAAAAGTAAATAAAGGCGAGGAATACATAACAAAAAATGGTAAAACTGTCCCCCCTCGTAAAACAGGCCAACCTTGCAAATGCCCCCAGAAGTGCTTTGAAAAATTTAACGATTCCCAAAAAAATAAAATTTTATCTTCCTTTAATGAAATGGGCGATAAACATTTACAAGACATATATTTGCATGCTTGCATAAACTGTCAAGCACCAAAGCGAAAGCGACCTCGTACTGGCGAGAGAACAGATAAAAAAGGTGGGAAGCAATATACATATACTTACAACATAAAGCTATCCCCAGCTGAAATGATTCATGTTTGTGCTACTGCTTTTACTGCTCTCCACGGTATTGGTACCTCGAGATTCAAAAGAATTCGCAGTGTAACTGATCTACTCCCACCCACAGAAGGAAGAGGAGGTCATCGTGAACATCCGGTTTTAACTGCAGATATCCGACAGCAAATTAAAGACCACATTGCCAGTTTTCCAAGGCGAGAATCTCATTATTCTCGCAAAAACAACAGAAACAGACAATATCTCAATGAGAGTCTAAATGTGAAGAGGATGTGGCTTTTGTATCTAGAGAAATATGAACCGGAGCAGAGACTTTTGTACCACAATGATAGGAAGTCAATGGACCCACAGGTGAAATATAAATATTATCTGCAAATGTTCTATACAGAGTTCAATCTGAGTTTTGGGCAGCCGCGCTCAGATACCTGTCCCATATGTGACAAATTTAATCTTGACATACTTGCTGCTGCAGATGATGTTGACTTAAAAAAATCTCTTGAGGGACAAAGAAATGTACACCAACAGAAAGCTGATAAAGCATACAGCAACTTTAGTAGCTATTCTAAACAGGCAAAAACAATCTAGAAGTATACACCTTTGATTTTGAACAAAATTTACCATGCCCAACTGTGACTGCAGGAGACATGTTTTATGCAAGGTCACTATGGACTTACAACTTCGGCATTCATGATTGTAAAACCGAGGACGGTATCATGCATATATGGTGTGAGGCTGAGGCTGGAAGAGGATCATCTGAGGTAGCTACCTGTTTGCGTGAAACTATTCTACAAAGCGGAGCACCTTGTCCTTCTTTCAGATGGATTCGCCGGACAGAATACGAACAAGGCTATTGTTGGTTTTCTACATAGTCTCGTGAAAGATAAAATATATAAGTCAGTGCAGCATTTCTTCCTGTATAGAGGTCACTTACCTCCCAAATGATCGGGATTTTTCACATATTGAGAAGAGAAAAAGGGTAGAGATGGTATTCACTCCCGATGACTGGAAGCGTGTTATTCTGGAGAGTAGAATGGCTCAACCTTTCCAAGTTGTTGAACATGTGCATTCCGATTTTCATAACTACAAGAAACACGCAGATGAAAACATCAAGTCTGTTCTAAAGTGTGAAGATGGTAAAAATCTTAAATTCAAAGATGTCATGTGGTTTTCATATGGTTCTAGTTATGAAATGGATGAAGATATCACTCAAGAGCTTGAACGGCCACACATTAATGAAGTCTGGTGTCGGTATACGCATAGTATCTTCGAGCCTTGGAAAAAAGTACAGCTCTTAAAAAGAAATGCCCAAGTTGATACAGCTATTTCAAAGAAGTACTCCGTTCGTGTTGGGATAAAACCTGCTAAGAAAAACGATCTGACATCTCTGGTAAAAAAAAAGGTCTTATTTTCCATGAGTATAGAGAATTTTATGAAAACTTGCCTATCCGCAATGCAAATTTGCCAGAAGAAAATTCTGATGATGGTGACGAATTTGTTTAAATATGTTGCACTTTGCATTTGTGTTTTTTGTTCTTTGGTTTCAGCAACTGGTAAATCGGCTTCAAAACAGTCTCATCACGAATATTTTCATAGTCTTTTCTAGTTTTCTAATCTGTATTTGTTATTCAATAAATGTTTTAACCAATCCATTTCGTCATTGCAAGTACACACGGTATTCTAGTCTATTTAAATATGGTTGAGAAAAGTGTGCTAAAGGGGGGTGGGGTTGTTTATTGCCGGCAATATGTGATACAGGGAGGGTAGAGATTGAAAAAATTTATGTGACATTATTCAGGGATGGCCCCTTGGGTCCCTTTTTATTGAATTTTATTCACTGCTCAAATTGGACTTAGGTGCGATATGGAATAACTTCTTTAATAGTCCATATAAAGAGTCAAAAATAGAGTTGCTCTTTTATATTTTCATCTATAATGATATTTTCAAGACAAAATACAAATGTTTGTTGTTTATCTTAAATCGTACACTGTCATCATCATTGTTTAGTCATTAGAAAGAAAAAATAACTAAATTGTAATAAAATTCCATAACAAACCCAAGTCCACGCATGGACATAGGTATGTTATGGCAAGCATAAAATCTTAAATTTCACTTTTTACCCCTTAATGTCTTCTTACAGATTGGACTATCTAAATATAGCTTTGTTAATGTTCAATATTTTCATATGTTACCTGTTTCGACGAAAATGTATCATAAATACTAATATATAGTTTTTTGACTTTTCCTCTAAACTTACTCACTGTGACTTAGGTGTGATATGGAAATGACCCCTTCAATTGTACATTTTTTTAGGCCAGTAATTACGATCGCCAAATTTTCACTAGTCGAGACGACTGCCTCATAAAATGGGTAGGTTTTCTTAGAGCCATTAATAGTTATGTCGGGCTTAAAATTGCATCGAGGAAAATTGAGGACAGAAACTTAAGACATACCAAAACCGTCCACCTAAATATATTTATGTCTAACATATAAATATAGCGAGGAAAATTGAAGAAAGAAAAATACAAGACGGAAACCGTCCGTCTAAATCAACAGTCAACGAGAAATGACAAGTGTTTGCATGTGCCAGTCTTATTTGTGATTTTCTTTCCCTGTTTGTACTCGTACGAAAAAAAAAACAATGTAATTTTATTTACCAGTTTTATTTTCTTGTTCACAAATTGTAGCTTAAAAAAAAGTTTTTTTCTGTTCTGATTCTGAGAAGTATAGTATCTGTTATGTACTGATTGTGTTTAGTTTACTATGAACAATATTATCATTTAAGTTCTTATTTTTTGAATATGCAACTATCATTTTTTGCTTATAAACATGGGAGAATTTCTCCTGAAGGCTCTTAAAGTGGGCATGAACTATCTTGCTTGCTCGATTGCTGGTTGTATTGAACAGGTGCTATGCCTACATTATTTAGTCCTATAGGTCTGCCAATTGTCTCAATCCAATGGGCTTCCATAGATTGACGGAAGTTGGTAGTTTCATCTTCGGGCAAGTCAGTTTCTATGCGCTCAATTGGGATTAGGGTGAGATCGTCTATTGTATGGTCGAGGTTGAAATGATTAGAAACAGGCTTGTCTTTCTTTAATTTGATATCCGACCTATGAGCATTAAAACGAGTTCGCAAATTATTCTCAGTTTCTCCTACATATTGTTTCGGGCATTTCTTGTATGAAATTAAATATATTACATTCGAATGTTCACATGTTAGATGTTCCTGGATCGGGTACCTTTTATTCGTAGAGTTGCTTACAAAATAATGAGTTTCTGATATAAAGGGACATGTATCTACTGGACAAACATGAAGTACTCCTTAATCCTGGAGCCTGTTTTTAGCTGCTATCTGTGCTAAGGTGGAATTTTTTATGTTTCGTAAATATCGTTTAGATTACCCACGCTCTTTCAGTTTTGAGAAAACAATCGTACATCGTGATTGGTTGAAATCAGAAGATCTTACGCAAATTCGGTGAAATCGTAAAACTTGTGACTTAATTATACCAGAAAAGGTATGTTTTGGGTGAAAGGAGCTCTTGTGCAAGAGTTGATGAGTATCAGTTTCTTTCAAATACACTTTAATATCCAGTCTATTTGTTTCTGCTATGGAATCTCCCTTAAAGACAGTGGTATCGAGTAAGTCTATGCTTTTGTCACTCACGTTTGCGGTTAGTTTGATGGAAGAATGGTGGTTGTCGAGAATTTCAAAGAATTCCTAAAACTGTTCGATAGAATAGGTCCAAACCATACAAATGTCATCCAAAAAGCGTCCGTAAT